TCCAAGATTATCTTCTTTGTCTGTGTTAATTGGTTTCCCTTTTCTTTGTTGAAGAGGGTCTGTGCAATCCTTCTGCCTAGTCCGCCATCTTGCCCCCAACAGTGGGCTTAAGTATTACAAGGATTGTGAGGCTGGTGCAGGACCAGGCATTATTTCGTTCTGTTGTATATAGGGTCGCTATGAGTTGGAGCCAACTCACCAGCACCTAACAACAACAACAACAACAACAACAACAACCATCCTGGTAGCCCTGTAGGATATGTATCATTGCCCCTGTTTTACTTGTCAGGAAACTGAGACCCTGGGATCGCACCCAGAACAAGAGTAGACTCGAGATAAGAAGCCAGTTCAGCTGGTCAGAACTTGGGCTTTGTCCTCCACTCCTTCTGTGAGGCAGTCGTGGTAGCTGGTTTTGTAGTGACTGCCACCATCCTTGATTGTGTCATACTGCTGTCTCTAAGTCACAGTAACACAGAACTGGAGTTGTATTACAGTTGTGTAATTACCAGATATTTTGGGATGGTAGAAATTAGAGGACATGTGGGTATTGTGATCAAGTAAGATGTCTTCCCTTAAAGGATTTGGGACAATTTCTTAATATTTTTCGTGATGGAAACTTCCAGATGATTTGTTTTATTTCCTTAGAAATTCAATGAAAAAGATTTGGAAGCAATTCAGCCAAACTGTCATTTAATGACAGCTGAGGATTTCAAGTTCAGGAGCGAAGGCTTAATAACAGAAAAGTGCTCTTCTCAACAGTCACCAGGCAGCAAAATCATCTTCTTCGAGGTATGCTTGACTGAAATTGGACGTTCACATGTGAATGTATTCATATTCTTTTTAGAAACTTATTTGATAGCTCCTTTGATCTAGAGAGATCCTCAGATGCCTTCTTGCTGATAATTGAGCTCACCACAGGTAGGTGGAGGAGTTCTTCGTCTGTCTGCCTTCCAGATTAATATTCCTTAGCCGAGTGTTAGTATTTGCACTGTACATGAAACTGAGAAGTCACAGCTGGTTAAAACATGAGCCTTGTATTTGCTTTACCAAGATTCACCTCTCAAGAACTATGCAGTCCCAAGTGTTAGGAAAATTTTCCTGTTCACCACACCTTTCCTGATGTGGTTCTTAATTTTCTTTCTGATCTCATTTTGTTTTATTCCCCCATCATTGTCAACGATAGCTAACTTCTTGCAGAGTCTTGAAAACACCATATTCTGTACCTCTCTGTGCATGTGTGGATCCATCTGCCTGAAATGGCTTTTCCTGCTAAGTCCTGAACATCCCTAAAGATGCCACTCTTGGGTTGCCTTTGTGGAGCCTGACCTGACCCTGCTTAATAGTGTCATTTCCCCTTTCCTTCTGGTTCATAGCACTTTTCATGCCCTTCACTAGTAGTACTTACTGCCTTTTTATTGACGTTATAGGATTCTCCTTTCTACTTTCCCTCACGTGAGCCCCTGAGCACCATGGGCAGATTCCTCATGGCTAGGCAACTGACATTTATCTCTGAATGCCAATGCCTAGCCCAGTGCTTGGTGTAGTAAATGTTTATTGAGTGAGTAAATGGTTATATTGATTTGTGTGAGATGGGTAGAGATTGTTCTCGCTCCTAGCTTGTTTTTAATGCAAATAGGCAGCCAGATCTGGGAAAGGAAAGAAGCTTAACTGTAGGCCACATTTTTAAAATATATTTTTTAACCTGACTGACTTTAATTAAGTTCATACATTCAGAAGACAGAGAACTCTTACACAAATTAGTTCTCTGATGAATGGCTCTGATCATGACTTGTGGTTTGGTGAGTGGTGATTCTCAAAATAATTAATGACTGGTACAGCCCAGGCATCAACCATCAGAATAGACTCAGACGGTAAGGCTGGGGTGGGGTTTAGGAGTCTGCTCTTATGCCAGATACCAACTGCGTAATAGCTAGATTGTGAGGAGATCCCTAGGGTGTCAGGTAGGGTGTTGGTGGATTGGCCAGGCATTTATTTTTCAACCAGTATAGAAACATTTCAGCATTTTAGCAACCAGTGTTGCTGTGGTGCTACCCTGGTTTCAGTGGAGTGTCTGGACTAAGGTGGGCCAGGAAGAAAGGGCTGGTAGTGTGCTTTTGGAAACCAGCCTGAGAGCCCTGGGAGCATGACTTTGTTGGTACTGATCACGGGGGTGCCACAGAACAGAGCAGCATTGGATTTCATCATGCACAGGTGGCCGTGAGTGAGGGGCCAACTGGACAGCAGCTAACAGCAACAACAACGGCAGCTGGCCACCAGACTGCTACCAGCTCAGCATCAGCCCTGGTCTCGAGGGCATCGTTGACTGACCAGGGAGAGTTCTTTCTTACTTATCACCATTTGGAGATTGGCATTTTGCCATTTCTCTGGAGGACAGTGTCGGCATGAACCAGTAGAAAGAGCCCTTGAGCTGGGCCAGGAAAGAGCCTGTGGGCTGGGCTTGCGTTTTTCTCCTGGCTTTGCCACTTTACCTGGGTGACCTTGGGCAAGTCCAGTAACTCTCAGAGGATGAATATTGTGTGATTCTAACTTGCATATAGTTGATTTAGTTGGACTGTTAAGATATACATTAACCTGTAATGAGGTATAGTCCATTTTGAAAGAAGATAGCATCCCGTCAGATGTTTTTAGATAGACACTTCTTTATTAATTTGAATCACATTTAGTTAAACTTTTGTATTTTAAATCACCTTTTAGTCATGTAATATGCTTCTAAACGTTGAACAAAATGTGTTTATAAATTTATTGGACAGATCGAGTATTTTAAACTTTAATTTCATGAGGTTTATTATCTGGGCTATTTCATTTTTGACTTTTGCACTAGGTGATGTTGGTAGTTCACATGTAATTACATACAATTACAAAGTATTTTATTGGTGTTCCAGTTATATGCAGATCCTGGTAGTGTTTAAATTACTGTGCAAAATATCCAAGTATTTTAGCAAAGGTTTTAATTCTGTTTTGCAAGACTAGTTGTAAACTGTGGATATAGAACTATAAATTTCACTTAAGAATTGTAAAGGTCTAGGTGTTACTTTAAGAAATCATAATTTTTGTAGTCTTACAATATTTTTTCCCCCTCAGATAGGGTTACTTTTCAGGTTATAATTTTTTCTAAGTAGAAAACATGGGCTTCCTCTGCCACACCATTGGCCATTTTGTGTTGAATCAGGACTTGTCCTTTGCCCATCTTGACACAGAACTTGAGGCTATGATGATGTCTCCGTAGACTCTGGGCACTCTGTTTTCCCTCTGATCATTGTGTGATCCTGAGAATTAATGCTAGATGAACAGGGAGTTGAAGGATAGAGAGTGAAACACACTGACCATATTTAACTTGCTGCAGCCAGAGACTTATAGCTTGGTTACTGACATGGTTAGGACATTGCTGCTGACGTTTCCTGAGTATTAAAATAAATATCTTTGTTGCAGAGCTGTGACATAGCTACGGAAATAGACACAGTTTATCAACCAGGCCTCTAAGTTGTGGGGATTACCAAGAAGTGATGCATTAAGTTTCTCTTTACATATCTGCTGCCTCTTCTGATTGTAATCTGCACGTTGCATGTATTTCCTTCAAGTCATTAAGGACACCATGGCAGAGTGGAAAGTGCCCTGGCTTTGGTGTCAGAATGCCAGGTCTGCTACCTGTTATCTCTGAGACCTTGGCCAAGCCACTTAATAATATCTCTGAAACTCACCTTTCTAGTATGTAAAATGGGGAATTACATGCCTCCCCTCTAGAATTAGCTGAGAGGATTAGAAATAATGTATTAGTTAAGGTTCTTTAGGTTTCAAGCTATAGGAACATTGGGTAGCTTGAGTGAAACAACAATGAAAGGGAACATCGTCCCAGGGAAGAGTTGAACGGCCACGCCTTGGAGACCATGAAAGCCGTGGCAACTCCATGGGCTCCCCACAGAAGTCGTGGACTCTAGGGCACTGTCATTATGTGACTGAGAGCCACTGACTCCATGCTTCTGATGTCTCTAAGTCTACTAGTTCCTGGGAAGGAATCTTAGTGGTTTAGCACAGGCTCGGGGGTTGGCTCACAGAGGAAAGGGTTCTCCTTGGAACTCACTCTTCAATATTTTAGGGATTGTTCTCAGATGAGGTGGGGCATGGTGGTGAGCTGGCTTGCCACTCCAAGGGCTCTCTTCACGTGCTGTAGATGTAGACTCTGATACACAGTAGATATGTGGTAAATGGCACGTCTTCTCTCCCATGAGAGGCCTCCTCTCTGCGCTTGTCTTGGTCGGAGGAGTGGAGGAGGGGCAGGGCGAGGCCGGGGGAAGGGACGGTTGGTTGTACCTGCTGAGCAGGTGCTTGTCCTTCCCTCCCCCTGGGCAGCCTGGCCTTCTGCCTCGTGCCAGAGGAGAGCCACTGGTTTCTCAGCCGAGGGAGCCGAATGACCTCATCCTAAAGGGGCATGATTCCACGCAGGGGAGGAGGTGATTGATGCAGTGGGGCCCGAATGGCTCCGAGGAGTTCATTTCTCTAACGTGGACGAGCAGTTTGCTTTTAGGAAGATGTTGACTTGCTCTGACTTCTATTATGCAAAATATCCACAGGAATCTTTGCTCTTAAGATTCATCTGAGTCCTGTGTGTTCCTCTCTCACCTATTTAATCATCGGTTCAGCATGTGTTTGCGGCAGCATTTGATCTGTGCCAGACACTGTGCTGCAGCCCTCCAGGAGCCGTCAGATTAGTTGGGGAGGGCAGCCCTGGAAACAGGCGGCTGGTGCACTGTAGCTCTGGGGTGAAGGTGCTGTGGGGGGCTGGAGGAAGGGCACCTCTCTTGGTGGAAGCTGCCTGGTGAAGGTTTAGTCAGAGAAGATCTCACCAGAGGCCCTGGAGTGTTAGTGGGGAGGAGTGAGTGATGGAACGTAGTCTCAGAGAAGGAGATTGGAGGTGCCACCTTGAGATCAGATGGAGACGTTTCCCACTTTCGTTGAGTTGGAGGGGTAGGAGGAACAGGTGAGTGCTGATGTCGTCTGCTGGCAGATGGGACAGGAGCTGAGGAGAGCTGTGGCTTGGAAGAATCTTGGGAAGGTTTGGAATCACTGCCAGAGAAAACAGCCCACTGCCTTTCTTGGTGGGGCACAAGAAGCCGTTGGCTGGCCTCTATGAGGCCGACTATGACAGTATTACCCTTGTTGGGTGCTCAGTGCTTTGCTTCCATTATAGGGCAGTAAGGGGTAATCTGAAGTCTCAGGCCCCATCCGAGTGCACACCCTGCCTCACCACTCTGACCTGGAGCACACTTTTGGCCTTCTGTGCCTCAGTTTCCTCATCTCTGAAAATGGGGAGAGTAACATCTAAGCTCATTGGTTTATTGAGAGGATTAAATGAGAAAATGCTTGGGAGGAAAGTACTTAGCACAATGGCTGACAGTGCTGAGTGCTGGGTGAGGCCACCTCCTTCATATTGGTAGCCTGTTTATTACCCAGGCTCTTTTCTGGGGTCCTCTGTCTGTGAGTGGGTTTTATGCAGGTGGACACTAAAAGAATCCCACATGATACTGTTATTGCCCATAGTTGGCATTTGGGAGCTCATTGTGCCAGTGATGTGTGGTGTTAGTTACAAAAGGGCAAGACACTTCCAGCAGTCTGGGTGACTGATCTATTGTGACCACACTGGAGGGTTAGCATTTAAGACCCTTACTCAGAAGGTAGTGCCTTTGTCTTTTTGTTCAAGGCTAGATGTAAATCCCTGTTCTCCTTGGTCTGGGTTTTTTACATTTTTTGCCCTCTGTATCACCTTGGCAGAAAAAAGTACTTAAATACATAAAACATATGCATAGGACTATAAAGGAAACCAAGGAGCTCTGGTGGTGCAAAGTTGAGCACACTGCTCCAAACCAAAAGCTTGGCAATTTGAACCCACCCAGCAGCCGTGCCGAAAAAAGACCTGGCAGTCTGCTTCTGTAACGATTATAGCTTAAGAAACCCTATGGGGAAATTCCACTTTGCCACCTGGGGTTGCTGTGAGTCAGAATTGACTTGAAGGCACCCAACAACAACAGCAACAACAACATAAAGGAAACCAATTATTTTGACATTCATTAATCAAAATGAAAATATATTAAGCTATGCAAATAGTATTTCTTAAATATAAAAAGATCTAGTGGTGAACATAGTAAATGCTAGTTTTGAAGGAGTGATAAGAGTAAACAGTATTTAGAAATGTCTGCAACATACACAAAATAACCAGATTTCTGTTGGTGACAGAGTTGCAGGAGTACTGCTAATATACCATGGCTTGTTGCAATGGCAGTACTCCTTCAAGTCATGATTGAAGGGAATGCTACGTTTCAGGTAGAAGTTAGTGGAAATAAAGATGTAAATTTACTTTCCTGGTCACTTCATGCGTCCCTTGAATTTTTATTCATGCTAAGAACCCCTATTTTTGGTAGTATCTAGACTCTGGGAGATAGCATACCCCAGAATCCAAACCCACTGCCACTGAGTTGATTCCAGCTCATAGTGACCCTATAGGACAGAGTAGAACTGCCCCACAAGGTTCTAAGGCTGTAATGTTTACAGAAGCAGACTGCTTCATCTTTCTCCTGTGGAGCTGCTGGCGGGTTTGAACTGCTGGCCCTTCTGTTTTCAGCCGAGTGCTTTAGCCACCGTGCCACCACAGCTTCTTGGAGAAAGCATAAGTCTGTTTGCAGCTCCATTGTCTCCACTGACGGAACATCTGCTCCTCCCTGCCCCAGCATTTAGAGAGCATCTAGTATGTATCAGGAAGCATGCTAGGTATTCTATTCATCTTAACTTTATTTTTAGCATTGTTTTTCTTTCTTATTTTGAAATAATTTCAAATTTGCAGAAAAGTTACAAGAATAGTTTAAATGACTTTATTGAACCGTCTGAGAGTAAGTTGCTGACGTGAAGCCTTGTCACTTCTGAATACTTGAGTTTGTGTGTTTTACGAATGGCCTTTTTCCAGCATAACTACAGCATAGCTGTCACAACCAGGAAATTAACACAGATGCCTCACTACTGCCTGATCATCAGACCCATTCACGTTTCGGCAGCTCCTTTAGAACAAAAGGCTGTAGTCCAGGATCACACGTTGTATTTACTAGTCTTTCTTCTTTAGTCTGTGTCTTTCCTTGTTTTCATGACCTTGATAATTTTGAAGTGTCCAGCCCAGTTTTTGTGCAGAGTCCTTCAACTTGGGCTTGTTTGATGTTTCTTTGTGATTAGTTCCAGGCTCTGAGTCTCTGGCAGGAGTATCACAGCAGTGTTGCTATGCTCATCTCCTTGTGTCCTTTGATTACTTTATGAAGGTGATAAATGGCAGGTATCTTGACTATACAAAAAAAAATAAACTCACTGCCATTGAGCCAGATCTGACTCATAGCAACCCCTCCTTGGGTTTCTGAGGTGATATCACTATGGAAGTAGATTGCCCAGTCTTCCTTCTAAGGAGTGCCTGGTGGGTTTGAACTGCCAGCCTTCTGTTAGCAGTCAAGTGCTATACAGTTACTCTTTTTGCTTTTGTAATTAATAAGTATTTTATGAGAAAATATTTTGAATTTTGTGAATGTCCTGTTTGTCTTCAAACTTTCACCTACTAGTTTTAGCATTTATTGATGTATCTTGGCCAAATTATTCATTACTATGATGGTTGGCTCTGGTAGCATAGTGGCTAAAGCACTTGACTGCTAACCAGAAGGCTGGCGGTTCAAACCCACCAGCCACTCCTCGGAAGGAAGGTTGGGCAATCCTACTTCCGTAGTGATACTGCCTCGGAAACCCAAGGAGGGGTCGCTATGAGTCAGGGCCGACTCGACGGCAAACAACAACAATAACAATGATGGTTGGCAAAGGGTGGGTTTTATAATCACATCCTCCCTTGTACCTTTATTAGCTGGCATTCTACTGCAGGCAAAAGCCTGCTCTTCTCCCATTGATTCATTCACTTACTTTGTTCATATCAGTATGGGTACATGATGTTCTGTTTTATTTAGTAGGTTATAACCTTACTAGTATTGTGGTACAATGGATTGCTTTTAACTGGCCTTTCTCACCATATTCTTATAGCTCTTATCATATGATTGGGTGAGACTATGCAAATAAGGTGCTTGTGGCACACCAAAGGGATTGCACAGCTTGGTAATAATGCAGATAAGGTGCATGGCATCCTTGTTGAGGTGGGCCCATGCAAATAAGGTACATGGAACCCTAAGGAGGGGATTGGTCAGGTTTGCCATCCTACTAGGCTTAAAATGAGCCATCTCAGAGACAGACAAATGGGAACCTGCCTACCACCAGGAGCTCTGGTGGCGTAGGGCCTAAGGCATTTGACTGCTAACCAGAAGGCCAGCGGTTCAAACCTACTAGCCACTCCTTGGAAGGAAGGTTGGGCAATCTACTTCCGTAGTGATACCACCTCGGAAACCCAAGGAGGGGTCACTATGAGTCGAAATTGACTCAACGGCCATGAGTTTGGTTTGGTTTTTGTCTGCCACCAAGAAGAAGAGACAGGAGTGGAGCAGCATGTCCTTTGGACCTGGATCCCTGTGCTGAGAACTTCCTAGACACCAGGAGACAGAGAACTGTAATGCCAGAGATGGCACAATACAGTGGGAGGTGGCTGCAAGCACAGCAGAGAACTGGCAGCAGAGACCGGCAGGAGATGGGGCAGTGGGCTTCCCGGCCCACAGGGCAAGAAAGCTGAGTGTCTTCAAGCAGGAGGCTTGCTAGGGAAGTGGAGTGCCTCCAGGTGCTTGCTGGAGCTAGCCTTGCAGACCCAGAGCTAGAGAGCTTGAAGTGCCTTCAAGCTGAGACTTACTTGTGGAGTGTGGTGTCTCTGGGCACTTACTGGTGGAGCTAAAGAGCTTTGTAACACTTACCTGAGCAGGGCAGAGGCTGGGCTGGCAAAAGGGTCCAAGGACTTGAAGGACTGAGGGACAGGGAGAGGCCTGCCTGTAGGCATGGCCAAGAAGCTGTCCTTACTGAAGGACATCCTGAATTGTTCCTGATCTTATATTGCCACTGGTTAGTTCCCTAATAAACTCCATATTTGTGAGTATTGTTCGTGAGTTCTGAGTGGCCATTGGAGAGAATTGTCGAACCCCAGAGAAAGAGAGAGAATGCCGTGGGAGGGATGGCTGGTATCTGAATTGGTGAAACAGTTGGAGAGAGGAGGTATGTCTGACCTCTGCTTCATAGGAATCAGCCTTGGACTGTCACTGCTGATGATTCTCCTGCCCCCCTGTATGAGGTTAGATAAAGATGTTAGACACTGCTGCCCGGCTGTTTTTACAACTATCATTATTTTTCATTTTTGTCTCAGACTTAACTAGTCAAACTGGCTTCTGTGTCCTCTTGACAACACTCCATACTTCTTTAAGCGTTTTCTTATTTTCTGGCACAACGAAATGCTATAGACGTACTATGGGGAAGAAGTGGGAGGGGAGCTGTTGCATTGTGGTAAATTGTAGTCAATGTCATGAGACAAAGTGTATGTGATCTGCTGTATGGAAAGTTAATTTGCTCTGTTAACTTTCACCCAAATCACAATTAAAAAAAAAATGCTATAGACATACCTGGTGATAGCTCTTATTTTCTTTGCCCCATTCCTGAAATCAGTCATTTCTCCAGAGATCCCTGGTTCATTCTACACATTTAACTTTTCTGTGCTGCGCACCAAGGTCATACAGCTAGTGAATGCCAGAGATCCAACTCAGATCTCTTCACCATCACTTTGTTCTGGGTGCCACCAAAGTGCTCCTCACTTGACTTCAATGTAAATCCTTTGTCCCCAGCACTCATCAGGTTTCTGCTTGTGATTGCCAGTTCTCTGGAGCAAGAGGGAGTTTGTAAAGACGTTCCCTGCAGTGTTGTGAAAACTCAGAACAGCAGCTCCGAGGGTGGTCGTCTGAGGCTGGGCAAATCACATGACTGTGATGAGTCTTTGTAACAGCTAGTTGGTGCTGAAAGCTCAGCTCTCAGCCTTCATTCTTAAGAGAAGGACAGTGATTCCCCACTCCACCTGCAGGTGGTGCTCTCTGACTGTGGTCTGATCCAGGGCCCAGCACAGGGCTCATCTCAGTTTAGGTTTCAAAACCAGAACTATCCACATATATTGCATAATAAAAGGATGTACTTTTCAAAAATTCCTCCTTAATGTCAGATGCCTACTGTCGTTCCCAGGAACAGCAACAATCAGACTATGAAGAGCTGATTCAGGTCTTAAAGAAAGAGCAGGACATCTATTCCCGTCTGGTAAAGTCTCTGCAGGACTCAAACAGGTAACTGTTTCCGTGTAGACATCATGCATGTGTGTGTGGAGACATGCATACACACTCATGTCTTGCAACATGCTGGGAGTTTCTCGAGGCAGCAAAGCCCTACTAGTTTGCTTAGGAAGCTTATAAAGTGCTTGGATGTTGATTGCCTCATTTGAAAATCAGCCAGACCTATTTTCTATCAAGAGTTGTCTGATTTTTGGCCTAAAGCAGGATAAAAATATAATAATAATAAGCACTTAACCTGTTACGACACTTAATTAAACATTTAGAAAGTGCTCTTGTGTGTATCTTTACACACCAGTCTCACAGCAGCTGTATTAGGTAAGTACTACTGTTATCTCTATTTTACACAAGGCCATCAAAGGTAAGAGGCTAAGTGACCTGCCCAGGTCACAGAGGATGTGAGTGACAGAGCCTCAGGATCCAAACAAGTTTCTGCCTTACTTGGCTTATAGTTTGAGGTGACTTGGTCTGCAGAGAATTGCTGGCCCGTGATTTGATGCCAGGGGGGTGAAGTGCTCAGCTGTAGCCTTGACTCTCCCATGCCCTAGCTCTCTGTGCCTAGGCAAGCGTCTTGTCCTCTGGTCTTTGTCTGCCTGTTTGTAAATGGACAGTTGGCCTCAGTGATCTCTTACATTAGGAAATCATTTCTCTACACACTGGACTATTTACAGTTGAAAGGACATGATGTCTAGCATTTGCTTCAAGACTGTACAAAGTAGAGGGGGTCAGTGGGGATATCATTTGGGCCATGACTCCCTGATTGTTAGGACTGGGGTGTGAGGAGATGAGGAGGGGCTCATTGTACTAGTTCCTGTTCTTTTGTGTATGTCTGAAACTTTCCATAATGAAATGTTTAAAGTCATCCTTTGACGTTCCCTCTCTTGGGCCTTTCTCTCAAGCTGTGATGAACTGTATGTTCGTTGTTCTCTGCACCGTGCGCTCTCCTGCCTCCGACCACTCCCCTTCCCGTCCTTTCACCTGGGTTGTCTCCCACCAGTCCTTCAGAATCCAGCTTGAGTGCTCCCCTTGTTGGGAGGCCCAATCTAACCGCTTGGACAGAACTACCCCTTTGTGTAGTTGTCTCTGTACTGCCTCCTTCTCTAGCTCACAAGCTCCCTGAGGACAGGGGCCATGTCTTCCTTGTCTCCGATTCCCAGTGCACGTCACAGGGCCTGGTGTGGAGCAGGTACTCTGGAAACGTTAAGTTGCTGGATGCCCTCCCAACACTGATCTTCTAGATGATGAGCTGATTTGCAGATTTTAAAATCTGAAGTGAATTTAGAGAAAATGAAAGCATCCTGATGAAATTCTTGGAGTCGAGACAACTCTCTGAACGTGAGCTTTTTCAAGAAACCTCGGCTGCTAGTCACTTTCACTTGGAGGAGATGCTCAGTAATATTGGGAAACTCAAAGGGAATGTGCAAATTGCGTTTTAATTGTGCAGGTTTTTGGAGTGGGAACCAGATTAGCTTCTGGGCACTGAGAGGCCCTGTGACTGGATATGGTTGCTCTTAAGGCCTTTCAACATGATGGCTGGCTCTGAGTTTCACAGGCTCTTTCTTAATGAATACAAATGTGCGGTGAGACCAAGGCGGGTTAGAGATATGACCAGCAAAGGTACTTAAGAGGTTTCGTATTTGTGTTTAGAATCACAATACATGTAGAATGAGACAGACCTGGGTCCAGATCCCAGCTCTGCCACTCACCAGCTCGAAACTCTTGAGGAAGTTATTTGTCACCCTAAGTCTTAGTTTATGTGCCTTTGAAAATGGAGATTGGCCTACTCACCTACCTATCATCCTACCTACCTGTCATCCTACCCACCCTACAGGGTTGTTTTGAAATAAGAGATGATATATGTGAAGTCCTGTCACTGCCTGGCACTAGTAAACACTCAGTAATGATTAACAGTTGTTAAAAATGGCAATAATGTGAAATGAAAAGTTCCTATATCCAGCAGTGTCCCAGTGTGCATAAACTCAGTATGTCGGGGCATTTTGAACCTTTAGACCGTGGCATATCCGTCGCACAGGACTGTGGGTTAAGGCAGGTGAAGCCCCTTTTGGAACTCCAGCGTTGCGCCCTCACTGGACATTACCAGTAAAGGTGATGACTCGAGAGACGTGCTGTCCTTGTGATTAAACCTGGGAAGGGAGAGCCGGGAGGAATGAAACTGGTTGTGGCCCGCGGTATGCCTGATCCTTTCCCCCTTCTGTGGATTCTTCACACTGGCCCTTAGAGTCAGTGGCTTTATCCCCATGTTGGAGAGGTGGAAATCTCCCTGAGATGTCAAGCGTATTACCCAAGGTTCTACAGTTAGTTATGATCAGAGCTCAGGGTTTTCTGGCTTCTAAACCGTTTATCACTTATCCTGAGGACTCGTGCGATTTATACTCCCCTGTAACTCGGAGTTGCCCCGCCTCAGCACCAATGGCACTTTGAGCTCCATCATTTTCTGTTGCGAGGGTCTGTCCTGTACACTGTAGGATGTTTAGTGGCATCCCTGGCCTCTGACCACTCAAAGCCAGTAGCACGCCTCCCTTACCCTCTCAGTTACAACAACCAAACATGTCTCCAGACACGGTAAATGTCCCCTGGGGCGTAAAACAGTCTTCTAGGTGAGAACCACTGCTGTAATTCATGAGAACCAGAAATTTTGGCCCCTAAATACCATCTTTTGTATGAGAGTTATTGGGGGTATATAGTAGGAAAGAAATGTTTATTGAACAACTTGTAAATGTTAGATGCTATGCTAAGTAAATGCTTTTCCATGTAACATTTAATCCGCAAACGAATTTTGAAGGAAAGGTATTATTATCCACATTTTATTCTGATGAGGAAGTCCAGATGCCGGCAGTTGAGTTGACTAGCCTGCGGTCACAGAGCGAGTTAGTGGTGGCTGTCCTTCTGAGCTTGGCTCTGCCTCCTCGCTTCTGCCCCCTCCTCCCGCCCCGAAAGAAGAACGCGTGGCGCCTTCATTTCTTTCTGATCGAAGCACCTTGGTGCCAGCCGCACCTCCCACCTTGCAACGATTTCAGCCTTGGGGAAATGAAATGACAGGCACATGAGCAGCAGCTGTGTACTTTTCACCCTGTCAGAGAACGGAGGAGGGAGTGAAGCGGTTAGCTTCCCCCAGCCCTGCTCACAGGAGCTTCGCTGAAACAATCTCCTCCTTTTCTCCCTGGTTAGATGTCTCTGCAGCACGACCGCATCTAAGCATGTGCTGTGTGTGTGACACCGCTGTAAGGTTTTCCATCAGCCTTACAGATTGATCATTATGATTGTCTTGAAATGGAACTAGGTACATGTTGCTAGTGGAGCCCCTTTCCTTGCATGAAGACTGCTTCACAGTGAACCGTCCTCAAAGCAGCGCACACACAAGATTAGACATAATGGTTTATTTTCCTTCCAGTATATGGTGATTTTTATGTGCAGTTCGGTGGAGGGAGCTGAAAGAAACATCTGAAGGAGACGTGGAGCTGCTGTCTGTGGTCTGCATGGTTTAGAGCTATAGTCCTAACCCTTTAGAGACTGTGGACTTCCCTCCCCCTTTCCAAAAAGTTTTATTATAGTAAATACATATATAACAAACGGTTTATTTACATTTTAACCGTTCCCAAGTGTCCAGTTCAGTGATAGTGATACCATTCATCATGTTGTATTGCCATCACCACTATCCACTTCCAAAAGTTTGACATCACCCCAAACAGCACTCAACACTCCTTCAGCAGTAACTCCTGTTCCCTCCTTGCCCTGGTCCTTGGCAACCACTAACAGACGTTTGTCTCCACGCATTTGCCTCATCTAGCTGTTTCACTTCTAGATTATGTAGTGGGATCATGCGGTACTTGCTCTTTTGTTTCTGACTAACTTGACTCCACGTAATATTTTCACCGTTTATCCATGTCGTAGCATATAGACCCCTTTGGAAAATCTGATGAAAGCCTATGGACCCTCTCCCTAGAAAACTTCACATATTCTTACATTTTTACAGGTTAGATCAAGGTATTGATGTACTCATATAAAACCACAGGTAGGCACTGGACAGAGGGTGACAGGCTTTTCAGTGGCTGTAAAAGGAGCTTTCAGATCTGCTAGTGTATTTCAGTAGCCTTAAAAATGATTATACCCTTTGACCAGTAATTACACTGCTGGGAGTCCCTTTTAGGAAAATAACCTGAATGTCAACAAGGCTTCAGGCACAGAGATGTACAGTGAAACATTATTTATGTTACTCAGATGCCAGCTGGGGGTCTCCTTATTCCCCTGAGAACTGGGTTTAATTGGTTCAGATCCCTGCCAGTTGAATGTCAATAGAGGACCAAGCCCTCCTCATAGATCTGCCTTGCCTGATAGGGTAGCCACTAGCCACATGTCACTATTAAAATTGAGTTGAATGGAGTCGAAATGTAATCAGCTTCAATATTCGGTTCCTTGGTGTGTTAGCCATGTGTCAGATGTTCAACAGCTACACGTGGCTGGTGCCTCCCAGATTAGCACAGATACAGAACACTGACATCACCTGAGAAAGTTCCCTTGGACAATGTTCCTCAAGATTAATGCAGATTCTGGGAGTGTGCATTTTCATGGCCTCCTCTGAGTCCTGGCCTTCTGGTTCCAGGCAAGCTATCTGTACAGCTCAGCCCTGTATCACGGTGAGCCCAGTGTGAAGCAGGATACCACTTTGAATACCACTATCCCACAGTACAAATCCATTCATGCTTTGCCTCTGTGAGTGGCTAACCCATCGATGCAGAGTTCTGTGGGCCCTAGAATGGCCCTTCTTTCCCTCCTGTTGTTGACTCCTTCTTCTTTCTCTTCCTTTCTGCTCTTCACCCTCACCCCCAGTACTACCTCTTTTATGAGTAATGGCTCAAAAGGCCTCCCTATCTCCCTCCTTTCTGAAGTCTGGGTTCCTGGCAACACCAGGCCCCAGAGAGCCCCCTGCTTTTCTATGCTTAAGCCCTCTGAAGGCATTATTTCAAACAGATATCCTGGAGAACTAAATTATTTCCACCTAGTTACATCTTTAGCAAAAACTTGGAAATGCCCTGAATGTCCACTTAGGGAAGAGGAGTGATAGTAAATGAGGGAACACTCACTAGATTTAATGTTGTATAGTCATGAACAATGATGTTCGCAAAGAATTCCCAACATGTGGGGAAATATTTACATGAGGAGTGCAAAATCAATATTGTATGCCTAGTACTGTTTTAACCTTGTGAAAACAGGCAGCCACGGGGAAAAACTGGGAAAGAATTGTAGTCTATCACGTGGTAGTTGGTAGTGGGGTCATGTTTATATTTTAAATTTTCTTTAATAAATGTGTATTTTGTTTAAAAAAAGAAAAGAAAAGTCAGAGGAAGACTTGCTGGGCTGTGCATCTTAAAGCACAAACAAATCTGTTTTACAATGTCTGTTTTTACCAAGTATCCCCGACCTGCAGGCTGAGTTGAACAGCATTTTCGCCCTGCGGAAGCAGCTCGAGCAGGATGTGCTCTCCTACCGGAATCTGCAGAAGACCTTGGCGGAGCAGATCCGTGAAATTCGGAGGCGCCAGGGTGTGTGTCTCATATGTATTTCCCTTTGGGTTTGCCACTGGCAGGGCCTTGGCTGAACTTTGAGAGCTCTGGTGGTGCAGTGCCTAAGGCACTTGGCTGCTAACCAGAAGGTTGGTGGTTCGAATCCACCATCTGTTCCACAGAAGGAAGATGGGGCAATCTACTTCCATAAAGATTCACTGCCCCAGAAACCCAGTGGGAATCAACTTGATGGTGGTGAGTTTGGTTTAGTTTTGGTTTAAAACTCCATTAGGAGGTGAGGCACTTGCAAGATATTGTCTTGGGACCCTTTTTCTGGTGCCTGTTTCAATGTTGGCTCTCCTATTCTGTATCCATCTGGCTTTGGGCTTCGTAGTAAAAACGAAAAAAACCAAACCAAACCCACTTTTGTCAGATCGATTCCTACTCCTGACAGCCCCATAGGAGAGAGTAGAACTGCCTCGTAGGTTTTCCAGGGCTGTAAATCTTTACAGAACCAGACTGCCACCCCTTTCTCCTGCAGAGCAGCTGGTAGATCCAAACTGCTGACCTTTACGGTTAGCAAGTGAGCTTTTTAACTATTGCACTATAGTAGCAAGGCCCAGTAAATTGTATTTATTCTGCAGAAGGTCTGCTGCAGGATTGCTTTCTTGCTCCTATATTATTTCCTGCATCATTTGATGCTCCTAACTCTAGTAACCTCAAATCCCCTTTCTCTGGTGAACAGTCCTCATTGCCCAAAGCATGTGGGCTGTGCCTACTGCAGCACCCTCTGCAGAGAGCCGGGACTTCAGAGACATGTAGGAGTGAGATTGTTCTTTTGTATTGAAATACTGTGTTCAGCATTGTCATGACCATGAGTAAACTTATTTTAGGAGGGCTACAAGACAACTATTCATCCCAGTAATATTTGGTTGTGTCCCTTGCTAGAACATGAACCTCTTAAAGTCTGGGTTAGTGTCTTATTCCTTTCTAAATTCCTAGCCTGGTGCTGGGCACATAGAATCAACATTAGTAACAGCACTGGTAAGCTTGATACTTCTTAAGCATGTGTTGTTGTGTGCAAGGCACAGTGGTAGGCACTTAACAACCCATATCTTACCCTCACAATCATTTTGTTACATAGAGGAGGTATAATTACCTCTATAGAGAAGGAAACCGAGGCTTAGAGAGTAGGGGATTGGTTTCCCTAGGGTCCCAAAGGAAGTCGCTCATATCTGGACTACAGTGTTTTCCTTTGAAGTCTGTCTAGCTCTTTCCTGTATACTGCATGGCATAACAGGTGTGTCACTTCTTCCCCACACCTGTTGAATGAGGTCATGTTTGTGGGTACACCTTTCTCAGTACATGTCCTCCCCTCTTCTGTTCCGTTCTTGCATATTAGAATGTGAGCTTTGCTGCAAAGGAGCAGACTCTTAGGTAGGTGAGCAAAGATTCTTTTCTCTTAGATCTAGCAGGCAGTTTTTGCACTTGGTATGCTTGCTACCATGTGGGCTCTGGGACCAGTAAAAAAAAATGTATCAGGCACTTTTATTTCCCTCGAGTTCTACCTTTGAGGGTCACATCTAATTTTCCTGTGTTTTCACCTAAACAGAATCACTCCCTCATTTAAACTGAAATCACTATTTGCTCTTGCCACTCCAAACGGTCTCCAGGCACAACACTTGATATGCAAATTAGAATTCCGAATTGGCCGCAGTGAAAGCCTACAGCCCAAGATGAAGCCATACATTGAGATATCAGCCTGTAGAGAAAGAAGGAAAATTACTTTTGCTCCAAAGGTGGTGCTTTAGACTCCCTGCGTGTATCTATCCTCCTCTCTAACTCTTCCCCCAACCCAATTCAGGTTGCTTTAAATGGATTGTACTGGGATTGGCCTTGCAAGGATCTGTTTCTAATTCTCACCTCCCCCTTCCCACCCCCCTTTTTTTTGAGCAGAAGAAACATTTTCATTTTATAGTGATCAAACATCTTATTTGAGTATCTGCCTTGAAGACCACAATCGGCTGCAAGTGGAGCATTTTTCTCAAGAAGAACTTAAGAAAAAGGTATTGACATATTAACTTTTAGCACTTCATTGGTCATTAGTTGTCTCTTGGGTTCCTGGTCAGAAGCATAAGATTCTGAAATCCCTTTCCTTTCCTCTGCTTCGTTGTCCTTCCTCCTCCTGTTTATGTTCCTGGAGGGCCCTCCCACAGTTCTCACATATTCATCCTCAGGCTTGAGGACCCAGCCCAGACCTGCTCTTCTCTAGAAGACACTCCCTGACCCTCCATGTTAAGTTAGTCTTCCCCTCAGGCCATTCACCTCTCTTCTAGTACCTAATGGCAGTGTTGTTCTTCTCGTGTTGTTGGTGGATGCCGACCAGTTGATTCCAACTCATAGCGACCCTGACCCCGTGTGATAGAGTAGAACTGCCCCATAGGCTTTCTAGGCTGTATCTTTGTGGGAGTAGATCACCAGGTCTTTCTCCTAGGGAACCACTGGGTGGGTTTGAACCACCAGCCTTTGGGTTAGCAGCCGAGTACTTAACCATTGTGCCACCTAGGCTCCTGTCTGTGCTTCTCATACTGATCTGTAACTGGTTACTCTTCTATGCCCCTCAGTGGGCTGTGAACCTCTTAAAGTTAGTGATTGTGTTATATTTATTTCTGATTTCCAGGTACCTGGAACATATAGTTGGAGTTAATAGGTGATTTTTGAATGAATAAAACCCCAGGTTTGGTCAATAAATCTTTTGTTTTTTAACCAGAAGGGTTTTTACAATCTGTTGACTAGAGTGATTTCTAGTGTTTCATGGTTCAGAGAGCCATTGGTAAGAACAGGAAGTGTGAGCTCAGAGGAGACTGGGTGATTTATCAATAAATTATCACAGCAGTGCGACTGATTCCATTTCTGTCTGGGGATATTTTAATTCTAGTAGAAGACACAGACATGTAAACAAGCCACTGTGTATGGAGTGCCAATGTGGCTATAACAGGCCGATGGACGTATGCAGTATGGAGGAGGCAGGGAAGGAGAGACAACCTGCTTGGGGGTGTGGGGAGAGAAAACAGAGATACCGCTAGCTGCCATTGATTGAGCACTTAGACTGTGTCAAGGACTCTAGTGCCTTGTGGCTGTTATTCATAGTCAGTTCTCACAGTAGCCCATTTTATGGATGAGAAACTGAGGCTTAGATTAGGCATCTTGGTCAGGATCTTTCTACCTTGAAGTGGTGGCTCTGGGATTAGAATACAGGCATGCTAAATGTTAAAACTAGTACTCTTTCCATTGTACCCAGAGTGGTGAAGGCTAGAATCAGGCAACTGATGCTTCATAACTGTGATGCTGAAGGATACTTAGCAGGACAGTCTGCATTTAGGAGAACGGCCCTTGGAAGCTGCACTTGACTACTGGGTAGCCAATCATCTGTGCTCTTCTTTTTTAGGTCAGTGACCTTATACAGCTAATGAAGGAACTGTATACTGACAACCAGCACCTGAAGAAAACCATTTTTGATCTCTCCTGTATGGGCCTCCAAGGAAGTGACAGACTTGAGACAGTAGAACAAATGGAGGTAAGAAGAAACATTCTTATTATATGCTAATAACAAAAATAAAAAATAACAACCAAAAGCATTCCTCAAGACTGTGTCTGCCCTGGGTTGGTCTCTTCTTTGAAATCCCCTATGCTGTGGATAGGATTTTAAGGGTCCTGTTAGATCAGGAAGTCTGTCCTCTGGCTTCCTCAGGTTTTGGGATCACACCTGTATGGACACATTCGATATATTTTTGAAGCTTCTAACCTCCAATCCAGCCCTGCAATCTGTGGTATAGATGCTGCATCTGGGTGAGTGGTATGGTCTCACAGGGATCTGGAGAGTTGCCAAAGTAGCCAGATAATGTGGGTGGTGTAGATGCAGCCTTAATGAATTTATTAACATTGAAAAACAGATTAAGCACATTTCAGTTACTTTTTGTGTTCATTCTTTCTGACCTGAGTGTTGTGTGTCTCCTTCTCATACTAATGACTTGTTGTCTTCTTCATCTGACCCCATATGTGGAGTTCCTTCCCATGCATCCCCAGGGACTCCTGCATTCTGCCGTGTACAGAGAACACGACAGGGAGTACCAGTGGGTGTTCCATCAACCCAAAGTCCAGCTTCCTGTCTATGGGCATTTGCTATTGGTGGCATTTGAAAGTTTGAAAAGACCAGGGGAAGTTAAATTGTGGCCTCTTAATGATGGCCACTAAAGGGTTTGTGGTTCGCTAGAGTTGTTTAATCACTGAGGGTGGGCATCTCATTCCTTCCCCCCCTTGGGGAAAGAAAATGGAAGGAAGCGTTATTCACCCCGATGGCTTCTGGATGTCAGCGCTGATCTTTGTGAAGTGCTGTCTGTGATTTTTTCGTTCTTGACCTGTGTAGCCCAGCAGGAGGACCTTAAGTTTTCTCTCTTTAGCCCCTCGCTTGGCCTAATCGCTTGGCCAGTATTGCTTCAGGAGACGAGAACTGCTCTCCCTGCGAAGCGCAGTAGGCCTGTTGTCACTTGAGCCTTCCTGGAGTGTGCTTGCTTGGGGTGGTCTTGAGTTTAGCCAGGAACTCCATATAAATGGAGGTCTCCCATTTACTGCCGCATCGTTTCTGGGGAAAGCTTTGTCAGCCCTTCCTTCACCTGTCTCCTGCCTTCAGATTGGGAAAAACTCAAAGGCGTTTATGCTGTGTTCTGCCATCTGCTCTCTTTGAGAGAGGAAATACTATTGATCTTAGCCTCCAGGGCTCCAGATAATTCTGAAGCCAAAATATCTACAATCCATTTTCAGCAAAACAAGTCTTCTGCTCTGCTTCCTCCAAGGTGGCATTTTTAATAAGCAGATCTTTCTTCACCACTTCATTTGAGTCTTAAATGGGGAGTTTTGTTTGTTCATTTGCCCTTTGAAAGAAATCTGTTAAATGTCCCATTATGTCCTTTGGAGAACAGAGGCTTTTTCCTCTTCCCACTCTGAGATCTTACTACCAACCAATCACGTTTGAGTCTTTGTCAGCTTGCACTCCAGTGTCCTGTTCCCTGTGAATAGCCTTGTCCTTTGGAGCAGTTTCCCATTTTCCTCCAGAATGGGATGGGAAGATCTGCATGGGAACGATGATGCACCCACAGTCGTAAGCTGAGAGAGGACAGGGAGTTGAGGGGTGAGGGCTGGATAGCAGGGAGGAGAGCCTGCTGTTCCCAGGGACTGCACACAGTTTGTCTTCAGTGCGGGAGTTTGATTATAAACAAGGCAGAGCAAACCAGAAATGGCTTCTGTTGTCCCCAGCCTTTTCCTATGCAAGCAGCAGTAGGACTTGCAGGATGGGGGCTGGCACGGCTCCTGCTCTCTAGGAGCTGTAGCTGAAAGAAGGGAAAAAGCACCCCAGCATGTGTATTTCATATTTGGAAAATTCATTTTTTTGCCTCCAGTATTCAATTAACCTCACTACATTACCTAACATTTGGAAAATAGGGAAATCACCCCTAATCCTATCACTTTAAAATGGGCTTAGTTAATTAACATTTTGGAATATTTCCTTCTATATTAGTGTATATGAACATGTGTACACAAACACCTGTAATACGGTTTTGTTTCCCGTTTTTCCAGTTGCCATTATGCCTTAGCACCACATTGTAGCTTATGAATACACTGAAATTTAACTAACCCACCTTCCTATTGTTGGACATGTGGATTGATCTGGTGATTCACTGTTTGGAACAACATAATGCGTATCTTTAGACACAGACCTTTTCCTGGGTCCAGGATTTTTTCTGTAGTCTCTGATAGATAGTGTAATTATTAGGTCAAAAGGACAGGTAGAGATAAATATAGATATAAAACAGATTTGAAATTTATTTCTAGATCTTCCTCCCACAACTTTTAATTTAAAAAAGGACATAAATATTTTGAAGACCCTTGATACAGTCTTTCAGTTTCTTTTCTAAGTGGTTTCCTAGGTATAAAGCCCTACCAGCTGGGTAACCAAAACAAAAAAAAAAAAAAAACTCACTGCTTTCAAGTCGACGGAGACTCGTAGCAGCCTGTCCTTGGGTTTCTAAGGCAGTATCACTATGGGAGTAGATTGCCCAACCTTCCTTCTGAGGAGTGGCTGATGGGTTTGAACTTCCAGCCTTCTGGTTAGCAGTCAAGTGCCTTAGGCACTGTGCCAGCTGGCTACGACAGCCTTTATTCCCCACATGCTGAGCATCATGGAAAAACCAGTCAAGAATTGCTATCCTGTTACCTGAATGTGCATGTAAAAAATCTCTAAGAGGTTGTCCCTATTTTCCTTACATTTTATTTACTAGCTATTAATTTGTATGTAAGAGCTCTGGTAGCATAATACCTAAGGCATCTGACTGCTAGCCAGAAGGCTGGTGGTTCAAACTCACCAGCCACTCCTCGGAAGGAAGGTTGGGCAATCTACTTCCATAGTGATACTGCCTCAGCAACCCATGGAGGGGTCGCTAATTTGTATATTTTACAGAATAATTTAGTTGAGAATTGGCCTAGATCAGTGATTTCAGCAGAGTGCAGGCATGGTACTGAGGTGTCTGCAAACCCTGAATACTGTGACACGTGGAAGTGCCACCTTCAAGTGATAGGTTACATGTTGGGGGCTTGGCACGGTGCGTGGCACATTGCGAGTACTCAAAAGGGGTTAATTGCTGTTAATATTTAATAATGTTGAAATGATTAGGAATGATTAGAACACTGAGTTTTTTTGTTTTTTTTTTTTTTTTGGCACAGAGAAGAAACATGGTTGAAGAGGCCTATTTTAAATGATCACAGATATCTTTAGGGCTATTGGCCGTGAACGAGAAATAGACCGTATGTGGCTCTAGAGGACAAAAGTGGTGCTCAGAAGTGGAGGGTGCTTGTTAAATAACAACAGGGTAAAATCTGATTGTCAGAAGCAGATATAATTTCATTAAAAGGAGAAACTTTTTTTTTTTCTTTTTAACAATTTGACTTTGTAAGTTGTTATAAACTCTGTGTGATTTATAATGTCCTTGGCACAGTGCCTGGCAAATAGAAAGCATTGAGATTTTTATATTATTTCTTTGGTAAGTTAGTGGCAGAGTCAGAACCACAGCCCTGTACTGACTTGGCTTGGTATTGTTTTGGCCACCCCCCTGCCCAGGGCAGCACCTCTAAAGTTTAATGTGCATGTGGATTTCCTGGGGATCTTGTTAAAGTGCAGATTCTTCTTCAGTGGGCCTGGGATGGGGCCTGCTATTCTGCCTTTCTAACAAGCTTTTCAGTGATTCCAAGGAACACACTCTGTATTGCAAGGCCACAGGTTATCGTGACAACCTCTTGGTCCCAGCTCCCATTGATTCATTGAACATGGGCATTGGCTGTGTCTTTATGGAGCTCATTGTCCAGTAGGTGATCTCAGGAAGCAATCACAGCAGAGTGTGGTGAGTACTCTGATGGACCAAATGAGAATTCTGAGGGAGCACATGGACAGGTGCCCAGCCCTCCCTTTAGGGATCAAGAGAAGTCCTTCCTGGAGGGAGAGGGAGAACCTGCAAAGCAGATCGAGGTAGTGTAGCTGACAGGCCGGGGGAGGGCCAGGAAAGTGCAGCATCACGAGGGCCATTGCAAGGAGGGGATGTTTAATGTGATGTCAAATCCTGCTCTGAGAAGACAGTAATGAAGAGAAAAACAGCTGAGGAGCTGTCAATGTGTCGTTTATGACCTGGGCATTTTCCATGGAGTGAGAGGACAGGAGCCGGATTGCAATGGGAAGAAGTGACAGAGAAGGAGGAAATGAAGGCAGCACGGGCCAGTGCTCGGAGGTTTGTGTGCTGCAGCTCTAGTCGGTGGGAGAGCTGAAAGGAGAGCCTGATGATAGTGACTCACAGTCCTCTCTGACATCTTGTTCCGTGCCCTTGAGAATTAGTAAACCATCTTGACATGAGGGACGTTTCTCTGTGTCCACACATTTAATTTCTTGGCCGTTTCGGGAACAGAGAATATAATTTAATTTTGACCAAGTCAGTAAGGGTAAAGAGAAATGGAAAGTTAATTATTTTTTCAGTGTATCCAGTAACAGTGTGGTGGTGGTTCTGGAAATGCGGAGTAACTCAGATGCTTTTGCTGTTTCAATAAGATTGGAATGACTTGTGTTGCTAATAGTTTGCTCAGATCCCCAGGTGTTGAGGGAGGAGCTTCTGTCTGCCTCTGCCCTAATCCCTCGTGGGTTCTATTCCTGTTTGAGAAAGTCTCTGGGCAACTTGCACCAGTACTTTGTGGAGAGTGGTGGCAGCAGAGCCGCAGTGCAGATGGTGAGACACAAGTCTCTGGAAGAGCTTGGAGGAGGCAGAGGGTGTTCACTGGCCAGAGCTTGCCGGAAATCGGAGGGAGGCTTTGTTGTTGATGTTTTATCTCTGAAAGAAGAGAGGGACTTTCCCCCAACATTTTATCATGAAAAAATCCAGACAGTAAAGTGATAAGAATTGTAAGTGAACATCCATATACCCATCCCCTATATTTTACAGTTACATTTCTTACCTGTCCATCATTACTCTACCTTATTTTTTG